GAAATTACATATTTTTGTAACTCCTTTTTATTCAACAAGTTGTTCAAACAATTGCTTGATATAAAAACAGCATAAAAGCAGGTTAATGGCGAGGAAAATAAAACAAAATGACATAAACAAAAAAGATCAAACCTAAAGTTTTACCATATATCTAAGTATTAAAAGCCCAAAAAGAAGCCAGAATAAAAGGTATTGAGCTTTGATTTAACGGGGCCAAGTTCAGTTATAGATCAGAGATCTAATGGAAGCTGATTCGAGTCAAAGTGTGACTACAGAAAATTCTCCATAACGGATTGATAAAAGCGAAACAAGGCCATTCAGAGTTTTAAAGACAAATAATATGGACAGGAAGAAAATGCATTTGTTAAAAGGTGAGCTGCTGAATCCTGCAAAAGATGGAGACAGCTCAGCAATGACTGGCTAAACCTGCTTAAACCATTTAGCCGGAAGATTATTTTTTAACTGCAGTTACTTTATACAGATAGTAGAAATCATCCAAAAAGAAAAGAAGTTCAAATACATATCTATATATCAACATAACAATAGATTGTTTAATCTGTAGCTGATAAAATTCTGTTGTTTGGGAAAAGAATTGACCCTGTTTAATAACAGAGGTCATTTCTATGTCAACTTGTAGGGCCTTATCCAATGTAAGCCCTGATTTTTTTTGCATCATCATCACCAAGATCAATAGTGAATTTTCCAAGGCCAGTAGAAGCTGTGTCTCAAAATGTAATCCGTTCTGATTTTTCTTCTTTAAAAACAAGGAGTTCCATCTCAGCCACTGAGAAAGCAGTGGGTTTATTCTTGTTTGGTCTAATTAGTAAGTAAATTTGCACACCAACTGTATAACAAAAGAGTTCACAATGTAGAGGTTTATAATAAGTAGCGACACAGAGGCAGAAAAACAGTGGGACCAATTTAGAACCCTGTGGGACCCCAGACAGTAGAGGGACTGCAGAGTAGGAGTAATTGAGCATAATGTCAGTTGTAGATGTTCATGCATGTAGGTTTAAGGATCTCCTGTAGTTATATGTCCAGCAAATCAAGAAAAGCCTCCGGCTGAGGACACAGTGTTGTTGTTTGACAGGTCTATAAAGAGGGTGCTCAGGGTTGTACCTTCATTTTAGGAACAGTTTGTAAAAACCATCCTCAAACGTTTTGGAGGAGTTCGCAGAAGTGACCCACCCTTTATTGGCTTGTCGAGCTCACTCAAGTCAGTTGCTCCTATGCTACTATCCTAAGAGATAAAAATAGAACATTTCAATCTGTTCGCAACAGAATTACATAGACTGAAGGATCTAAGCTTCCTCAAAAAGCACAGACTCTTCTGTCCCACCAATAGATGTCTTTTAGATTCAAAGTCAGATAAAAAGCCATAATCATGACAGTTTTGGTTTTCTCATGAATGTTGAACCACCTATTGTAAAAATCTAACTTATGAAATACAGAAATTCTTATTTTGAAATATATATATATATAATTTTTTTATATATATCTTTAAGTTTTACAATGAAATGCTAAAACACCAGTTTATGGTTTGTTAGTCAGGAGGAACCTGGTGTTAAAAGACAAATAAATTCAAGATGATGACCTGCACTTTTTTAACTTCTTCGTCTCTGGCTTTCTGATCACGTTAATAAATAGTTGTACCAATTTACATGATTTTTTAAACCTTCGGGGAAAGTGAGGCAAAAAGACTGATAGATGTTTCTCTAGCTACTCTGTCCACGATTTGTAAGGAGGTTAATAATTTAAGTCAGTAAATCACAGCCATACAATATCCTAGAAGCTTCCAATATGCAGCAGCAACATATTAAAAAGGTATAAAAATGTAATGTAAGTTTTGAAAAAAAAAAGTATCCAAAATGTGTTGGCTTTAATAAGGTTGAATGATATCTGCTGGCTTCACAAAATCAACCATTTTACCCTTTTCTATATATTCCTGTTTCCTACAGAACCCTCAACATTTGTTATCCCTAGAGGCTGCTGTTTGATTAGTAAAACAAAGTGTGACATGTTTAAACAAGTGTGACTGTTTAAACATGGCAAACAGCTGGTGTAGACAAACTGGCTACATGCCATAAACGGTTGTTGCAATTATTGATTAATAAGTACATAAAGATTTGGTTGCAAGTCTCAGCTTTTGTTTTTGCTTTTTACTTGTTTTAAATCTACTCATGCTGACTTGCATGTGATCACATTTGTACAGTTCTGGTCAGTTAAAAGTAAAGTTTAACCCTTTGAAAACCATGACAAATAGAATCATAAGTTTTTTTTATTAATCATCATTTGCAGATTACTTTGATTTAAAAACTGTAACCCTACAGATGCAAACAAGACATACAACTCAGTAAAGCAGAATATTATTACAAAAGGTGATTTATAATAATTGAATAATGTATAATGCACAAAAGGCTACAATTGTAGATTTTTGAAATGAATGTTAATTGAATGTTAGCCTACTGAAAAGTACATCCATGAACTGTGAAATAAAAGGAAATATGAATTATAAATTCCCTTTATTGCAGCCTTCATCTTATCTTCATGTATTGCCCTGGTGTCTTATCATTATTTGGAAATAGTAAAGTTTCAGTATAGTTTAGCTCAGTGCTTGCTACCCAGTTAAGCATGGTGATACCATTTCCACTCATTTAAAATTAAGTCAGCATTTCGCACAGTGAGTAATAAGTACAGTACATCAAATTTAACAAATATTACTCGCAAAATATCACTCTGCGCAGAATAAATCTATTTAACTTAATGTCTTGTTCTTGAATTACATATTTTTTGTTGAGCTCCACCTTTACATGCAAAGAAGAAGCAAAACTTTGGTTTTGGACCATATCAATATATCTGGGCTAGCAAATGTCTAGGCCAGATTGACTGTGGTAAAGAAAAGGCTTTCTGTGTCCATCACTGGGATCAGACTGCATGCAAACAGAAGCACCACCTGCACAGGAAAAACACTACCACTTAAATTAGAGCAGACAGCAGCCACTAGAGTTGGTGCACTAAACAGGCACAAGACAGAGTGTAAAACATGGAGGAACCCCAAAAACATTTTTTAGGGGGAGATGCACATACCATGACTGTGATTGGTCATTCGGCACATCGCTCTGTAATCCATTACACAAAAACATCATAACACCAAAAACATGCCTTCAGAGCCCTTCTTTGCTGTAGGAATCTGACAACTCCCTATTAAACCTCCACCAAATAGCAAAAGCGGTCCTTCTCACTTAAAAAACGGCACAAAGCAACTCCTCCAGCACACAGCCATGCTCATCTATCTCCTTGCAATGTCTCTCTGTCATCACTCAATGTGACAAAACATGATATATGTCTGCTGCTGGTTCTGGCCCAGCAGTTACGCTGATAACAGCTCTTACTTACACCAACCCCATGACAACACGGAAACGTTTCCATCACCTGACATATAGTCTTGAAAAAATATTCACACATTGGAATATTTCACAGTTGAGTAGAGATAAAATTGATGTGTTTTATATATATTTTTACATTATCCTTTCCAATGTATGATATAAATCAGAAAAGGATTAAATCAATTTGCGTAACTGAATCAAAACCATCTTTTGATGTAATTTCAACTTTAAATATTTTTTAAATAAGTCAGCAGTGTACAATTTTGAAGTAGATTGGAATCACTCCAGAACATCCATTTTCTAATCCTGCTAAATATAGAAATTGGCTTAGATCTGGACTAACTAGAGTATTTTAACAAATTCAATCTTAAAGGTAAAACAATTCATTGAAGCACAAAGGAGTATCCTTTATTTATTTTTTTTGCATCCTTCATCCAGCTGAACCTGACCAGCTTTCCAGTCTCTGTGAAGCAAAAACATACCCAAAGAATCATGTTACCAGATTTCACTGCAGCGATGGTGTGTCAAGGCTCAGTGCTGGTTTTATGTCACATATAGCTTTTTATTAAATTTACTGTTTTTTTGTTGTTTTTTTAGGTTAAGAAAACTTTCATTTGTACAAAATATTTTTGCTCCTACTTCATAGTGATGTCATTTAATCTTCAATAAAACAAATTATAACTGGATGCCTTAAATAATGAGCTCAGATGATGATTTATTGAGTCAGGTAAAACCATCAGATTGCTATTGTGTAACTTTTTTCCTTTGTTTTGTGTAAAAAAAAAAAAAAAGAATTCAAGGTACCAGGATGCACACCAGCAATAAAACAGGTTTTAGAGGATCTATGCTAAAAAAAATATCCATATCTCAGCAGCACAGATCTATAAAGCTTTCAGTATAACCAGCTTTTTTATGGTTTTCACTCTTTCTGTAAGCAGAATGATGGCTTTCCTCTTTCAGCTGATTCTCACAAAGTGAGTAAAGTGGTGTCAAGCAAAAAAAAGGCTACAGCCAAATTATCTTTTTAAGCATTCGCTTGAATGATTGAATATTTCTTATTCATAGCATCGTGAAGAGGACATCTTGAACAGGAATGACTGAGCCTGAATAAAAATAAAGAGATTAAAATAAAGATTTAATATTAGGACAATTGAGCTGACTCACACTGCCTCACAAAAAAATATTTAAGCCTTGGAAAAAGCACATTTCTGAAAAGCTTGCATTGGTACAGCAGACATCATAATTTGTTTAATCCATATAAATTCACAAAGGAAGGTAGAGAAAACTAAATACAGAAATATTCTGGTAGAACGACTGTTAAAGCTTGAAAGACGTTGGTTTACCTTCGTGCAAGACAACAGCGCTAAACAAACAACCAGAGCTTCAATGCAATTATTTAGAAAAACTCTCCATTTAATCTGCTTGAGCTAATTTGAAAAAGAGGAAAGGAAAATATTATATTCTCTAGATGTTAATAGCTGGTAGTGAAACATGACAATATGGATACTTGGCAATATATTCCCATAAAATTATAAAACGGCATAAGACAACAACAATCTCTGCAGCTTTTTTTTTTTTTTTTTTTTTTGCAAAGTGCAATGGAAGGAGACTGACCTCCATACTGGTTAGATTACAGCGATGAGTCCCAGCAAACCAGCCACTGTTGGAGCACTGGTCAATATCCACATCCTGCAGATTCACGTCCACACGAATTACCCCCCTGTTGGTTAAAAAAGGATGGAAGGAAAGGGAAAAGGGATGGAGGGAAAAGAAATGGAAATTAGTACACTGAAATCAGTGGGGAATTGGACGAAAGGACTTATAAAAATGAAAAAGAGTGCAAAACTAAATTTAATTTTATAAAATGGTTTTCTTTGCATGCTGATAAATAAGAAATAATTGAGGAGCATTAGGGTCATAGACAAAAAAAAAAGGATTTAAGTAGCACAAGGGAGACAAAGAGAGGAAAAAGGATAAGAGGCGCTGACAAAACAGTATTAGATTAGATAAATCGTATAAGGCCAGAGGAAGACAGAGACTGAGGAAGCTAAAATGAAAGACAGGGAAATTAACAGGAAGGGCCATTCTCAAAGGAAGTCAGGCCAAATCTGTTGATTGAAAGAAACGGATCGAAATAGAAAGAAATTAAGAATGATGGAGTTGAAAACAAAGATAACCAGAGACAATAGTTAACAAAAATAGATAAATTGGATTAGATAAGCCTCTTATATAAGTAAGGATGACTAAATATAATCAGTTATCAAATCTGGCTTCTAAATAGTTGGTTTTGTAATATAATAACGCCTGCTTAAAATGAGTTTGAAATCTCTTTTCTCTTAATGTTCTATGAGCTTTTATTGATTATGTAAACTCAACATGATATCCAGATCTGCTCAAAGACAAATGGACTCGCTTAGAACTGCAGTTTGATGAAAACTGATCTACATGAACCAAATCCTTACTGATGTGTTGAGCAGTTTTCTTTATGGCTGTACATGATGGAAAGTAAGTAACAAATAAAAATTAATTTATCTTTTTTTTAAGTGTGTTTAGAGGTGATTAGCAACTGTTTTACATTGCAGGTCATTGTGGTCAGCTAAGAAAAAGACTAAATTCCTATTTCTTAAAACTGTTAAATGTGTCTTTTGTTTTTGTATTTATTTCCACCTGAATATATGTTTCCCAAAGACCCACATCTGTAGTTTGGGGCTTTTATTGTTTTTTAAGTTTTTTTTTTTTAACCAATGCGGAATGATTACGCGACACACAGCTGCAAAGGTTTTTAAAGAGACTGTGGGCCGTAGATTGAATATCGTGTGGGTTTCTCTGATCCACACAGAGTCAAAATTAGCCATAGTGGCTAAAAGTTAAAAGAAATTAACCAGATGTTTGCATAAACTGTAGAAATAGATATTTGACCTTTATGTTTTATTTTGTTTACTGTCTAACATATATTCAGACTAAATGTATTCGACTTAAGACAAATTACTAACACTATTAATGCTAAATGCTAGAAATACAACTAAATATTCTCCGATAATTGTATTCGTCCTCTGCAGCTTCAGCTTTTAAACCTAAAATGTTCCTGGTGTTTTTTTTTTGTGTAATTTTGGCCCCTTCCTCCTGACAGAACATAAGTAATCAATTCATGTTTGCACTGCTTTCAAATTCCTTCACCTTGCCGGGAGGCTCTCGAAGTGACTGAGGTCGAAATTACTTTGTTGCCCTAAAGCCACTTCGTAACTAATCTGAACAAAAGTTTAAGGTTATTGTCTGCTTAAAAGTCCCTCCATACCCAAACTTTAACTTTTTTTAAAATATCTTTGAACATTCTGACAAATGGAAAAAAACATACATTTTAAATATGTTAAATTACAGAAGTTTTTTGTATCATTTGCGATACATAAGGCATTTCCGTTTATTAATTGTAATTCTGGTCCCTACATGTATTTGATTTTTGAGTCAACCTTAACAAAACTAAAATATCATAATGATGATGTAGAGGTCTCAAAAACCCCTGTATCAAATATGATACACTCTTAAACATTTAAACTTGAATGATGTCTTCAGAGGTTGATTCGGTATTTCACCTCATTTAACCTTTCCATTAGGCTATCTATTTGTGAAGTGCACCAGTCCCTCATAAAGAAGCCAAGTCATGTTGAATATTTCTGATTATGGTTTTAAAGCCTGATAGTTTTCAGATAATAATATTACTCCGCCGATTCTGCTAAGCAAATAGTACAAATATCCACCCAGAACTACACCAGAAGATTCTGATGGCAACAAAATGTGTTATTAAGGTTCAACTTGGTAAGGAAATTCTAACCTTATAAGGTTTAGTGTGTAAAGCTTTGCCTTAGTTAATGTTGTTGTAATGCTGTTTTTAAACTTAAAATTTGGTGAAATTATTTGTCATGATGTTTGATAACAGCTGGAAATCCATCTACTCTTATACTGATTATACATGCAGGGTCATCGGGGCACTGGTTTGCTAATTTTCATTAGTTTTTGGCCGATGGACCCTAAAAAAGCCACTAGTCAATCAAAGCTGTAAATATAAACTCTTAAAAGACTGTGTATATAAGGCGTCTTTTGGCCACTAAAACAGATTTACACTATACCCACATTCCCCCTGTGGCACACAAACACATTCATGCACCAATACTCAGATCAGTAGGCGACTAACAGGTACTTGCTTTGCCCAGGGGCACATCAGCATTCGACAGCAGAAAGCTGGTATTGACCTGCAACTTTGCGAGACAACTTTTCTTTCCAATGTGCTGCAGGCAGTGAACTGCAGCAACTGAGTTTGTGTGGTGGGAAAATTGTATTTTTCATCTATTCCAATATTTCATTGACTAAGTGCTTGTTCTATTTTCTTTACTGCACAAAAGTCTTTACTGAGGCTTATCTTACTCACTGAGAACCTGTTTTCGGGTGTGAGATGTCTGGAAGGTAATGAGACCTGTTTATGGGAACTTTATATAACATATTTTGAAAAATGTGTATGTGAAAACCTTAACATTAATCTGATACCTGGATCAGATATCGGTGATTTGATATTGGATATTGGAGATCCAATTTAGTGCATTTTACATGGAACCGGAAATTCTTTCTGCTGCTTTATTGTTGATAAATAATATAAAATGCATTTATATCTGTTATTTTTTCATGCTTATGTCAAGGTTAAAGCTTTCACTCACATGGTTCATTCATTTACCGTATTTTTGTGACTATAAAACGAATATAAACGTCTTTTTTTCCCCTTAAAATGTGTGGCGCGCCCTATAGTGCGGTGCGCCCTATGTGTGTTGTTACTGCGGACGTTGTTGAGACCACCATGAGAACATTAAAGGGAGAAGTGTGGGCGTGGATTGGCTGCCACGCAAATGGACAGAAACTGCCGCCTATGGTGATTTTTAAGAGAAAGACTTTGCCTAAAGAGACTTTTCCAGCTGGAGTCGTTATTAAGGCAAATGAAAAGGGCTGAATGGATGAGGAGATGATGAAAGAGTGGATGAGGGAGGTGTATGTGAGGAGACCAGGTGTTTTTTTCCACGCATCACCATCGCTGTTAATCTGTGACTCCATGCGTGCCCATCTCACAGCCGATGTGAAAAAAAGGTGAAACAAATGAACCCCTGTGCTCGCTGTTATCCCGGGGGGTCTGACAAAGGAACTTCAACCGCTCGACATCGGTGTGAACCGGCCGTTCAAAGTAAGGCTGCGAGCGGCGTGGTAGCGATGGATGACCGACGGAGACCACGAAAAGTGGAAGGCAGCGCCGGGCAAGTTACGCCACAGTTTGCGGATGGATTGTAGATGCTTGGGCTAACGTGTCTGCTGGCTCTGTTGTTCGAGCTTTCGCAAAAGCCGGCATCATTTCCGAGGAGCCGCACAGCAACGGAAAGTGACTCTGACACCGAAGAAGGGGAAATTAGCATGTCTGATTTAGCGCAGCTGTTTAATTCAGAAACAGAGGATGATGACTTTGATGGGTTTGATTAATACTTTGTAATAAATACATGAATAAAGCACAATCATACTCAGTTTTGCTCCCGCTCTATTTTTAAATACGCAGTAGAGGTATTTAAAGGTAGTAGAGGACATGTACCTGTATATAAAACCCGCGCCCTATAATTCGGTGCGCCTTATGTGTGTGTTAAATACAGTAATGGCACACATAACTGAGACTGTTAGTACGGTGCGCCTTATGGTCGTGAAAATACGGTAACACAGATCGGTATTGCATATTGACCAATACACACAGCCCAGGTATTGGGTCAGATCGGAACTGGATCAGTGCACCTCTACTCTTTGCATGATTTTAGGATAGTGGTAAACTTTATCTAGGTCAGAGCACAACAGATGCATAGAGCTATGACTATTACAATTGTCTTGTTTTTGTGCAAAGACAAAATAAAGTACGAGCTAATTGATACCCGCCAATCTTCTTTTATGTCACTAAAGATGCACAGCCAGTTATAATTTTCCATTTACAGTTTGCTTAAAATAATTTCAGATTTAAGTCTCAGTTAGTCCTGTTTGTTGGAAATTTGGGAAATGTTAGAAGTATTTATGTTCCAGGAGGTGAATAAACTTTGCATCAGTGAGCCTTAATATGAAGTGAATGAGGTTAAAAACCCTCAAAAGGCCCCAGCAATGCAGCTCAGACTGCTTATATAACCACCTGAGGTTAGCTCAGTTTACAAGTTGCCGTCTAACCTGCTGTGTTTTGAGCCTAGCCTGGTTTCTATATCCATCTATGACTGTCTCTATCTTTCTTTACACACGTACACACACATTTACTCAGGATGCTCAATCTTGTGTGATTACACTCTGCTGTCTCCTTCTCCATCAAAGAAAGAGGCTGCCCACTCGCCTCACTCTCCCGCCTTTACTGTGATGTGGAGCCTGACACCTGTTATCTCCATCTGCCAGCTGGGAAGAGGAACAAACCATTGGGAGAAGTTCTCGCCACTATCTTTTATCGAGAACGCAAATAGAGCAAAGGACAACCGTGCTGATATTTGAAAGTAATTTATTGCACTGTTTTTCTCTTCACAAATGCAGCCATAACAATATTATAACTTGAGATTCAGAAGCCTCTGAGGCTCTGAAAAAAAAAAAAAATAAGCATGTTAAAGTTTCTTTTGCTCTTTATCATTTTAATAGTTCGTATAACTTTACCAAGTCTGTCCGGTTTGCTGTATTTCA